AGTATGCCTAGCTGGGCACAAGGGTGCAGGTCTGTAATCCCAGCAGCTTAGGAGGCTGAGGCAGGAGGATCTCAAGTTCAAAGCCAGCCTTAGCAAAAAGTGAGGTGCAAAGCAACTGAGACCCTGTCTCTAAATAAAACACAAAATAGGGCTAGGGATGTGGCTCAGTGGTCGGGTGATCCTGAATTCAATCCACAGTTCCAAAAAAAAAAAAGTACTCCTAGAACTGGAACTGGTAGACATTTAATTCAGAAACTCTTCCTCTTTTCATCAAGGCTATAAACTCCCCACCTTAATAAAGCCCTACCCCCACCTTATTTCCAAAGTTCCAAATTCAAACTATTAAAATTGAGATGGAAAGGGGAATAAAGAAGATGGGACAGACAACAGAAAGACCAATGGATATTTTTTAAAAAGAAAAGAAGAACAAAAAGTGTTCCATGAAAAGTTTCAGAACAAGCCAAAATATCTTTGTTCAAAGATGACATCATGGCCCATGTGAAAAACCCAAACAATTATACAAAATAAACTACTAAGACTATAAAAAGTTTCAGAACACATGGAGATACTACAAACACATGGAAACACAAGGAAATTTGAACCATATGGAGAACTTTAAAAATTAAATCTTGAGGGCTAGGCTGGACATTGGTGTATTTTTAAATGTTCTCCAAAGTCTGAAATAAAAACAAAAAAAGATTTCAACTAATCCATAAACCAAAAAGGAAACTGAGAAGTAGCACAAACCAAAAACACAAATATTAACACTACAATTTCAGAAAAATAAAAGGTATATTAAGCAATTATGCTAAATCAAATACATAGTGCCATGATGAAGACTTGATTACTATAAGCAAGCTACATCCATTTACGTGACAGTAGCTATAAATACTATTGCTATTAAATTTATATCCAAATAGCACTCCACAGTAATATTCACTGTTCACTCTTGTACTGCAATAGCCTGAGAGGGGAAATGAGGCAGAGGGTAAACATGGGCAGTAATTACCAGCTTGGGGTTGGAGGGTAACTAACTACTCAGGCTGACCGCCAAAGAATCCAGAATTAACTATAAAACACATTGTAAGGCTTTAACTAAAAGGGGACTTGCCTCCTAAAATTGTTACAAAAATCACTTCCAACTGGACTAAAATGACTCTAGATAAGCCAGGACAACCACAACATCCCTCAGAAACAAACTGGCTCTAAAGAGGCACTGAGGAAATGTAGAAAGAAGACAAGAGAGTAAACAAAACAACTGAGAATGAAAATATTACTAACAGCTTAATGCTTGTTGAGTACTTTCAATGTGACAGGCTCTTTGCTAAATACTTTCAGTCATTATAATATTTTAATCCTCATTGCCCAATGATGTCTACCTATGTTTTAAAAATGAGAAAATTGCCAAGTCCAAAAATGAACACTTAACTGACCTAAACTGGGAATAAAAAATTCTAGTACCACAGTAAAATCTACACACAGCTCTTACCATGGAGAGAAATCAGAATTAAATCTAACATATAAAATGTGGGCTATCCTTAGAATGTTACCTTAGGCCTCTTCTGAAGCATTCTCACCCTTAAAAATCAGAGTAATCACATTTTGCCCTACTATAAGGATCCCAGTAAAGCAAATTGTAGTATTTTTCATGGTGCACACCTATAATCCCAGATACTTGGAAGGCTGAGGCAGGTGGATGGCAAGTTCAGGGAATGCTCAGTCAACTTAAGGAGAATCTATTTCAAAATAAAAAGTAAAGGACAGGAATACAAATAAATGATAGAGTGCTTGCCTAGCATGCACAGAGGTTCAGTCACCACTATGGAAGGAGGGAGAACACCTTTCAGTATGAAATACAGTACAAGAAGATGTCTGAAACACTAAGTTGACCTACAATCCAATATGTTAACAATAAAATGATAAATTGAAACTGTATCAGAAAATGTAACATGAATGACTTTCATACACTCAGGTTTTACATAATTTACTTGATAAGGAAAGGCCTTGTATTCCACTTTAGTCTGGGTTTAAATGTATCCAAATACAGGGGTTTTGAAGAAACACCACTGTCCCCAGTCACCTAATCAAATAAAGTTTAGATTAATTAGTGGGGGAGAGGTCATAATAACCACACATAAACAATGTTTCTAGTACTATGCTAAAATTATGCTATGATTAAAAAAATAGAGGGCCGGTGTTGGGCTCAGTGGTATAACGCTTGCCTGGCATGTGAGAGGCCCTGGGTTCGATCCTCAGCACCACACACATATAAATAATTAACTAATTAACTTAAAAAATAAAAGATCAATCGACAACAACAAAAAAAAAGTTTTTAAAAGTAAATAAATAAACCCTGTACATTTGATAATTGGGCCAACTTGTGTTAATCTGGCTTTATACTAATAACCCTAAAATTACAAACAATAATTGACAACCTAGTGGAAACTGACCAGTCAAGATGAAATCTGAGAGGGAATAAATTATTCAAAATAATTCACTCATAGAATAGTAACAAATTTATTTTCATTTATATACAAAATAACTCTTAGGGCTAGGGATATAGCTCAACTGGGTAGAATGCTTGCCTGGCATGCACAAGGAACTAGATTCAATCCCCGGCACCACAAAAATAAATAAAATAAATAACTCTTAGATGACTTTTTCTTTTTGAGACAAGATCTACATTGCTAAGGGTCTTGCTAAGTGACTAAGGATAGCCTTAAATTTCCAGTCCTCCTGTCTCAGCCTCCCAAATCACTGGGATTACAGGTGTATGCCACCATGCCAGGATTAGAAGATAACTTTTAAAAACACCTGTTTCTTGTTAAAGCAAAACCCTCTTCAAGGAATTGGGAGGAGGGACTAACAAAATCTTAATAAATGGGGGAAGGGGATTTACCAGAAGTCATGAAGAGTAGTTGCTCAGTTTTCACATTAGGAATTAAGTTCACTGTACCAAAGTTTATCGAACAAATGTGTGGAAATCCCAAGTGGTATCAAAAAGTTATGAAAGTCACAATTGTCAGGAATGCTATATGAGGAGGAAGGGTACAACAATAAACTAATTATAAAATCTGTTTCAGATAAAATTCAACTGAACTCCCATATTCACTCCTAAAGCAATAACTTGCTACAACTTTTACAATTAAAACTCGAGGAACCGGGGTTATGGCTCAGTGATACACCACTTGCCTAACATATGTGAGGCACTGGGTTCAATCCCCAGCACCACATAAAAGTAAACAAATAAAATAAAGGTATTGTATCCATCTTCAATGAAAAAAAAAATTAAAAATAAAAAACAATTTTATCAAATATTGTTTGCCTACTCCCTATCCTGACTTGATCTTCACAAAAGATATTAACCAAAGAGCTAAGTAAATAAAAATTACAAAGCACCAAGTTTTAAACAAGAAGTATACACATACAAAAAGATTAACCACAACACTCTTTCCTTGGCACTTTACATCATTCTCCTTAGAAGGTAAAAAAGAGATCAATGGGGGCTGGGGCTGGGTCTCAGCGGTAGAGCTGCTCACCTAGCGCCTGCGAGGCCTTGGGTTCGATCCTCAGCACCAAATAAAGAGAAATAAACAAAATAAAGGTATGGTGTACAACTAAAAAATAAATATTTAAAAAAAAAAAAAAGAGAACAGACCTAAGAAAGAACTTTCCAAAAACAAACACTAATTGACTATACATAGATTCAAAATAATTCACTCATAGAATAGTAAATCTGTGATGTACACTTTAATTCATGTGGTCCTGAAATCTACTTCAGCTAAAACATCTCATAAAGAATATTATTCTTCTAAATAATAACTGCAATGTTTACTATTTAATCCTACCCTAAACTTAGAAATTTGAAAGTGTTTAGCAAATACTAAATGTTGTTTTGTTTTTTGGGTTTTTTTTTTTTTTTTTTCAGTTGAACATGGACACAACACCTTTTTTCACTTATTATTTTATGTGGTGCTAAGGATCGAACTCAGTGCCTCATGTGTGCAAGGCAAGTTCTATCACTGAGCCACAACCCCAGGCCCCTGTTAAGTTTAATACAACTAGAACTCAATTTCAATACACAGAATGGGAGTTGGGATTATCTTTGTTCTTGTGGTGGCAGAAATATTTTTAAATGTTGGAAAACAACAGTCATCGAAGTTTTAAGTATTTAAGTCACTATGAGTGTTAAATATTTTATATGAAACATACATATCATTTTTAAACCACTTAAAACATCTCTGGTAAACTTCTATAACTGAAAATTCCATTTTTCAACTAGTTCCCAATAAACCTTTCAAAAAATTCTTCCCAAAAATCCAGACTGTGATAATCTACAAAATCCACTACTATAGTGGTGTTCTCCCCTCACAAACTTTTTCAGAAACTTGAGATAGGCTGAAGAAAGCATCTCTCACCTACCTCCAAGAAGTCCACATCTTTTACTTTTTTTTTTTTACTCAACTAAAACAACTCAGAACTGGGGACTACTCCAGAACAGCTCATTCACTTGTTACAGATAAAATACAGTAAAATAAAGCAGGAAAAGGAAAAAGCATGTCAGTGAACAGGAAAAAAATCTACTAACATGGCCTTGGTGCTTACATTCATTGTTTGTGATTCAGTTGTGAACATAACGTTTAAAAAAAAAAAAAAAAAAAACTATGATTTTTGTAAAAACCACAATTCCTTTCAAGAGGCTCAAACAAGGTAGCCATGAGCTGTTTTATTTACCAGGAAGGTATATATTAACTGGAAGTTCTAAGAAGGCATTTCCCAAGATTTTAACAAGGCTTTGACCAATTTTTGAAAGCTACTATCTTTTAGCAAGGGCTGGTAACACTCAGGAGTTGTTGCTGATATTAGTTGGCATAGTAATGGATACCTAATGCTGTATTCTTCCACTATTTAATTCTTACTAGAAAACCAATAACTTTCGAAACTATTTTCTACTTAACCATTTGTAAGTCTTATATATATAAATCACAATACATACTGACCTGAGTTTTTCTCCATCAAATGCCAATTGAGAAAATGTATGGTACCAACTAAAAATGCAAGGGGTCAAGTTCAAACAATCGTCCCTTGGTTTGTGAGCCATGTACTAAACAGCAGCTTTAGCACTCATTAACGATTCAATTAAAATAAGAAGTTCCGGTTTTGGTCAATGGTAACAAATTTGAACTCACTAATCTCTTCACTGAACAAGGAAATGAACAGGGATAAAGAAAAATCCACTGGGGTATGAAAAGGGAAAGCAAAAACTTTAAAAAACACTGGAAGGTTTTCTATTTGAAGATTTCCGATTACTGCCTTTTTTCTCCCAAAGTAAAAGCCACTTCCAAGAGAGAACAACTATGCCCAGGAACCAGCAAAGAAAAACACACGGTGGGGTGTGGACCGGTATAGATAAGGGCAGACAGGACGGCCATGAGCCAAATCAGTCAGGAAACCAGCTGCCCACCGGAAAGTCCCACCGGGTTCTTTCCCCCCTCCCAGAGGCAGACGACTGGCTAAAGCGAAAAGGGAAGCGCCCAACACGCGCATGCGGATAGACGTCACGGCGTTCTCTCCTCCCTGCGGAGAGCCTGTTGTCGTCACGGGGCGGGGCCTGCCTGAAGGCGCCGCCGTTGACCCCGCTGTTACTAAGCGCGCGCATAGCCAATCAGCACCCGGCGCCAGCGCCGGCCGGCCTTTGAACTCGGCACGGCAACTTCCTGCTGTTTGGCGAGTACACAGTGCAATGCAGTATGTCTGTCAGCGCTGCGGCACAAAGGAACAGCCATTTTGTGACTGAGCTGGACCTGCACCAAGATGCCAGGGGCTCAGGGCTGTTGCCTTCGTTAACTATCGAGCTGTCTATTATTTCAGCATCGGAGCACCAAAGACGAAGAGAATGGGGGGAAAAAAATGTTTGTGTAGTTCAGGTTTCGTTTATTTTCAGCCCTCTCAAAAAAAATCCCAATTTTTAAAGTATTATCAGCGTCATAAAATGGCTGCCACTTAAACTGCCTGTTCCAATCCACAAGCACTGCATTATGCCATTTCTAATCATCCCCTACCTTTTAGACTAAGGGCGAAAAGGCTTATGAAAGCATAAGATTTTACTCGCACCTTGGGTTATCAAAACAAACCTGAATCAAAGGCAGACGATTTGGCCGTAAATTTAATAAACTGTTTTTAAGTTAAAACTGCAAATGTAGCATCTTAGAATACAGAACTGTGTGCACACAGTTCCATCCACATTTTCTTCTCCCCAGTTTTCTATTCTTTGATATTGCTGAAGTTATCCCAAGTGTACAGTACACTTTTTATGTCCATTGCCAACACTTTTAAATATTTAGAAATTTTTACAGATATCAAATGTTTTTAAAATCACATTTGTGAAAGAAAACTTTTTAATCTTCAAATAATAATACACAACGTATAACATATTAGAATTGAGCATTAACGTCCAAATAATACAGGCTTACATAATCACTATTAAGTATACAGGAGTTACAAATACAGAAAATACCAGGTTTACTTAAACTCACACACATTCCTTAGAGTTCCTAAATTAGTTCAGACCAAAGTTTACTTGACCTGCAAACTCCTTTACTGTCTTGTGACTAGGGCTACAAAGGTGATTCTCACAATATTCCCTAATACCATGCTTTGTGCCATAAAAACATGGGCCCTTACAGATTAATGACACAGGATCCAAGTACTAGTGAGAGGAACAATTCAATATCAGCTCACTAGAAGTAACAATGTACTACACTGAAGCAACACTAACATCCTTTAAGCTTTACAATTTTAAAAGGAAGTGATGTCATAATTATGTACATGTATTAATAATGTATGCAATTTAGAGTAACAGTAATTTAAAAGTAACTCCATCTTCTTGTCAAGGAGTCTCTAATATTTTTGGACATTCATCAGGTGTATGATTTACAGAATACTTGGCAAAAGACTTTAAATACATGGCTTCTTATTCAGCTGTTAACTCCAAGTAGTCAAATTCATAACAACTTCCAAGTAGTTTTCTAGATGAGAGTAAAAATATTAAAAGAATGGCAGCACTGCTCAGTTTTCTACATTAGAAAGCATTGATCAATGAAGTTAACCACAAACCTTACATAAGAAAGCCAAAACCCATATGAGACTATGCAAATCATACACTCAAGGGAGCAACATTTTAGAACTGAATCTTTAATAATCTGTCAAATATATCTGGGGAAACTATTTCTTCAAATTGTCATAACTTTCCAGAAAAATCAGTGTACGATTAGTAGTTTTTGTCCTACATATAACCTAGTAATTACATGGACAATTCAATTTGAAAGACATCCAAAAATTATCTCAATATGCGAAAGTAGTTTGCAAATATATTTTTAAAAGAAAGGCTCAAGATATTTTAGTCTAAAGCAAAAGTCAACATTTGGAATAAACCATATTCAAAACTTCCAAATTTACTAGCCCAATAATTAGAAAAATAGTTACAGAAAAATAAAATCAAAATTGTGAAGAAAAAAAAAAATAACCCATCACATTCTTGTTAACTGCATGATTTAAAATTTATAACATGACAATTCTTAAAAACACATCCCAAAATGCATTCATGTACTTTTAGAAATTAAGATACAGAGATCATTTAACAAAAACATCTTAAAGAGTTTATTACTTAAATCACTAATAAGCTACTCCAAGGAATGTGAAACAAATTATGATTTGAACAAACAGTACATTTATAAGCTTCAGAAGATAAAGCATTCCAGGCGATTCTGTCGAAATAAATCAATAAATTTAAAGCAGCAACAACTAAGATATGAGGAAAAAAATACTACATCTACCAAATAGAAAGCACAATCTTCATAAGTATATAAATGTAAACCTTAAGTTATTTTAAATGTAAAATATACAATTATAAATAAAATCACAGTACAAACACAAAGCAGAAGTATATTAACAGCATTCCAGGATTTCTGTGATTACAGGTTTGATTTCATAAATTCAGGGACTGCTACCAAGTAAAGGTTTTGATAAATCATCAAAAATTCCTAAATTGTCAAGTGTATCAAAAGAAATGTAGAGTCAAATAAAAATATAAACTGAGAGGCATCAGTCAAAGTGTCCTTTTTGCAATTTCATTTTTAAATGTACATTTTTTCATTCATATAACTTTCTCAAATGTCTATTTACTATAATTTACTACTACAAGGCTCCTCTATGGCCCTCAGTTACAAGTTTGGATATCCGAGATTCTTCAAAGAAAAAATTTGCCTTGTATGTAAAATGGTGCAATGCAGCAATGGCTAAACCGACAAGGTCATTTTTCTGCAGCACAAAAACCTAAAAACTGAAATTTACTAACAGAAAAACTATAGTTTACAGGAAAGGCCCTTTGAATAAAGGTACCTTACCTTTTGACTGCTCTAAGAGGCCTTAAGTCACAACTCAACTTTCGCAAAATGCGACCAAAAAATTAGGGTGTGGCATATTAGCAATCTCAAGGTCACGCTTTTAAAAACTAATCCAAATCAGAAAAATACTTGTAACACAGACAGCATTACATGTCTGTCAAGGTAAACAATTGTAAGCTGAGGTTTCCCCCCCAAAAAAAGACAAAAAGGAAGAAAGTTGATAGCTCATACCTCGATGCATTGCTGTGTAGCGAACTGTCCTCCTCTTGGCTTTTGTCCTTATTTCTCATCATCTTTTTAATTCTTAAATATTAAGGGGGAGGGGGAATCTGTTTGCTTTGAAGTCCTGTGCCCAGGTATTTACTGTCAAAAGTTGAAAGAAAGGTAAGGTCCCGGCTCCTATGGATGGTTTTTATTATCAGGAACAAAGTCCTGACGATGTTAATGATATTGTTATAATGCAACAACAATAAGCACCAAAATACAGAAATATTTCCATTTTTTCCTTAAAAAAAAGAAACAGGATAAACCAAACACTGAAAGCATCACTATCAATAAGGAAAGTTTCTCAAAGTAACACACTGGATACAAATAACAATCTCTGTATCTTATTGCGTCATCCAGGAATTTCTCTTATTTACAGAAAATAAAGCAAACTTTAACACATAAATCTTTGAAATTATCACTAATGATAGTGAACTTACCTGATCCATGTAGTAATGTCCAAAGCAAGAGTCCTATCTAGTAGTAGAAAAATATCAGATCCAAAATAATTAAAAATAAAGGCAAAATCCTCCTTTAAAAACGAAAAATAAATAAAATAATCCTCAAATATGTTAACTGTTTAAAAAATAAAGCAATAATTAATACTAAAACAGGTCCGGAAGAAAAAAAAACCTCATTAGGAGAGCGCACAAAAATGGAGGTGCGCCATGGCTTCTAAGCTGGAAAAAACAACGACCTGGGCTCTCAGTACGGCTGCTTCTTTCCAACAAGGCACGAAAAGAAAGCTCCTAAAAGCTGCTTTTCTCCCTAAAAAAGGTTCAAATCGACCCCAGTAAGTCACTAGGAGAGGCAGGGGGCTGCGGGGGCCCCCTGAGGCTGCCCGAAAGTTAGGGAAAGTTGCGTAAAGTGAGGCAAAGGCAGGGAGCAGAGCGCGCTCTCTCTAAGGCACAGCCGCCATCTAGAGCCTCCTTCCCAGCTCTGAGAGCTCTGCCTTTGATTGACACTCTCTACATTTACCCCACAACTCAGGTGATGTACCATAGACCCACCCCTTCATCTCCACCAAAAAAAAAAAAAAAAAAAAAAAGATCCTCCATCCCAGGGAGCCTGAAGACCCCCACCCCCACACCTCCCTGCCCCTCCAGACCACCCCAACAGGGGGAGGGGGAAGGGCTTCTTAACCCCCTCTGGCTCATGCACCCTTTTTAAGCCAGAGAGAAATGTAATTTGTTCCTTTTGTCTAAAGATCTGCTAAATATTTCAATCCTTGAGCTAAAATAACTTCCTCCCTGGACAGGAAGTGGTGTTTTATCAAGCCATTTTGAAATAGGGATAATTCTTGGAAAATCTAAAGCTCAGCTTAAGTACACATCTTTTTAAAAAATTAACCCCCCATGGGTAAAATGTTTTCTAAATAAAAGTAAAACCTCAATTTTATAAATTAAATTCAAGCCTTGCATTCTTCATGATTCTTTAAAATCATTTAAAGACAAAGTTTAAGGGGGAATTTTCAATCCCAACTGGAAGAAAGGGGTAATTTTTACAACTCAAGAGCGCCTCCCTAGTGTTCACTTGCAGTAGAGCAAAAGTTAACAATCTTTTTTCCCAAAAATCTCAGTATTTCTTTGTACACAAAAATCATTAACCCATTATATAACCCTGGATTTTCACCCAACAAAACATTCTCAGTATTATATTTTCTTCCCATACTAATTTAGGCAAAACAAAGTACTTCAAATTCAAGTATAAGGACCAACCATGGTCACCTTTAAATCAGAAACCCAAGAAACTCCATTTCCAAACATCAACAGAACATACACATCTCCCAACCATTTCCTTATTACTTCAAATTAAATTTTAAGTGTATACCCATTTCAACAAAGATAGGTTATTAACAATAGATCAGATCTGATGGCAAGTTATCAAGGTAATGTCACAGAGCAGTCTCCTAAAGATCAAAACCATAAGATCTAAAGAAACAAAATTATTACTGTTGTCAAAAACTATTAGTCAATGATCTCATCAAGCATCCATGCAGACAACACATTCATGTCTCCTAAAAAAAATCCACTCAACTTTCCTTACTCAAAATTATATTTTTGTCAGAACCATGTCCTTCCCTCACTACAGAAATCCATTTTAGATTTACAACCAACAAAAACAACAATTTTGAATCTAAGTAAACATAAAATCCACAACTAAAACTCCTTCAATTCTATAAAAACTTCAGTATCAAAATCAAGATCCACAACTGCACTTTGGAACACACACAAAGATCAAACAGCCCCTCATATCAATCAATCAGAACAAATACTACATGAATATTGACCATAGATTTGTCCACTATTATATTTGACATTAATCACAAACCCTTTATGATTATTTCTAACAAAAAAAAATTAACCTGAACTATTCTTCATTCTGCTATGAGAAAATATGATCAATGATTCATTTGTTCTATCAAAATAAAGCATATCAACTTAATAATATTATAGTAACTATTATTAGTTATCAGCAACAAATGAGAACCTGGTACTTGAAATTCAAACACAGGTAATAATATGGCACGGTGATTCATTTTAAATAACCAATTGTAACAATAAGGCACAAGATACCAATCCTGTTTGAAATGTACATAAACTGTATTATACACATTACCACAAACTATTTACGTCTTTTTGTATAGACCCTAAAGACACTTCCCTATAAATCCAACACATCTTTCCCCAATATTAAGACAATGAGACATCAGTTTAACTTAAATATTTAGATGAATATTCTATTGCAAAATGTTTTATTTGTAATATTAAAAAGCGAAGGTAAAGGGACCATTTCAACCAACAAAGGATAATTGAGAGAGAAATAACTGAGTTTGAGGGCAACAAACACTGTTTCAAAAGCTTACTAAAATATGATGGCACACTGAATATTCTCTGATTATCCATTGATTAACCTGTTTTGCAAGGTGTTTAAAAAAATACAAATTCAAGAAATTCACCCAAAACTTATAAACACAAAATCACATTTTAATCAAATGACCATCCCAAAGAACAAATAAATTTGTAAAGCTTGGTCAAAAACATTAAATCTTAATCAGCCAAATAAAACACTTTCCAGCACACCATTTTCATTTTACCAGCTTTATTCACTATACTATACTGCTGGGCAACTGTAAAAGTCAAAGTGTTAATAAGGCGGTAACTGAACATATAAGACTTCTACTTTAAAAAAAAAAAAAAAAAAGGCCCAAACTGAGAAATTTTTAAGTGTTAGAAATTTTATTAAAGATAACATTCCATGAGGTCATGCTCAAAACAAATCAAAAGGCAAAAAATTCCAAGCATACAAACTACCGTGCTGTCTTCTCCAAGGTCAAAAATGCACTGGTTTTAATGATACAAAAGTTTTTTGAAAGTAAAATCCACTGTCCATTTGTGTTGGGTAAGAAACCTATATCTTCATTCATTCATTTCATGGAATCCATGTTAAAAGAACCCTTTCTTGGTTGTGTATTATCACAGCACTCTTGTATTAATCCATTTTCCTCATGTCCCCATAGTGGACTGCCATCTTGATTTCTCAGTGGTAAGGTCCATTTGAGACTCTTCAAGCTGACTGGGTGCTTGATAAAAAAAAAAAAAAAATTAAAGAAAAAAATGCTGTTGGAATACCAATAATCTTATTGCTTCAAACAGAAAACATCCGCCCACCATGAAGATACCCTACCATACCCCAAACTTTTAATTCCATTAACAGTTTACACTTATGAAACTATTATACTGAAGTTATATGCAAGGACTTCTAAAACAGAATCAATGAAAAACTTACACAAGTAACTAAGTTCTTCTGTCAGCTACATTTGTATCTAATAAAAAGGGGCACTAGAGAGTCAAATTTTTAATATTTAATACTAGTATCATACTGGGTACACAAAAAGAAAGAACAAAAATTCAAATTCAAAATTCCTGGAAAGCTAAAATTACAGAAACACTGTGGATTCTAAATCTCAATGCAGAAAAGTTTCCAAGCGCCTTCAAAAAAAACTAATTATAGAAAAGAATCTTAAGGGATTAAAAAAAAAAGCAGAAGATCATAGCATACTTTTCTAGTCTAACATGTTAATTTTGTTTAGATAAATACAAATGGCCTATATAAATGGCACCATTTTTACTTACACATCTGAAAATGCAGAAAATATGAAGCCACCAGGAAAAAAAAATGAAAAACATAAAATGTCTACCTTGCTTATTGGGTATTTGCTGTAAAATGATATCAATTTCCAAACAGCATACAACTGAATACTTTCACAATGCCAAAATATCAAATATTCCTCAAAGAAAAATAAAACTATAATTTAAATAATTTCGACTAATGGAACAGTGAGAAGCCAGGTGATTTTACCACTAAGAAAATTATCTGGATTCATCTTGATAAAACATAAATGCAAAAACAAGTTTCTACCCTTTCTTCTCTATAAATCTTACAACTCTCAATCTCAATTTACAGAGATAGGACTAACTTGTAGAAAAATAAATATAAAAAGTCATTTTTTTGCTCATTGAATGTAAATTTCCATTTCTGACTATTATTAGAATATGTTGTCTATTACATAACAAAACCAAAAAGATCCTGCCACCCTATTAAAAAAGAAATGAGTGATTAATTGTTACCTTCAAAAGTAAGATATTTCTTAATAGACTTTGGAGTTCTCTCCTGTCTTAAAATGAGAAATAACTCATTCATTCCCGTAATAAAGTATCTTCAATTTGTCTTATATATTTCTTAGAAATTAAGAAATGATGGCTATTTTTAATACAAACATACCATTCCCTTTGAGGGGGAAGGGCAATATCGAGATTGAACCACTATAGGGGCTCTCTACCACTTAGCCACATCCCCAACCCTTTTTATTTTTTGAGATAAGGTCTCACTAAATTGAGGAGGGTGGCCTCAAAATTTTGATCCTCCTGCATTAGCCTCCCAAGCAGCTGGGATTACCGGCATGCACCACTACCCCAGCTCCATCATTTCTTACTCACCGTTAATTATAAACCAAATTCTCCTCGATCTCTATTGTTACAATGAAGGATAAAGTTCTAAATTATATTGGTGATATAAATAATTATGATGCATAACGACACTAATTCATTAATAACATGTTACAATCACTAACAGCTACAGGTGCTATTTATTCATTTTGGTACATTAAATGAGAAACTCACTGATTTATATCCTGCCAAGGAACAAGAGGTAAAACTTGGATGATAATATGAAATTTCTTTCCAAGACTATTATTTAAAAAACAAAGTAGTAAAAATATCAAAAGGCAATCAAATGACTTCAAAATTATTCAAAAAAATGCACTAGTTTATATGACAATATTAGATTAGAAAATAGTAGCATTATTTGTCATACCATCACAAAAGCATTTATTTAAGATAGAAAAAGCAAATTGTAAAGAAAAAATGCTACTTGAAAAAGCAGACAACTCTTATAACATTGTTAAAGCCAAAATCAATCTAAACTACTGCATATCAATACAAAGCCAAAAGTGAGAATTTTGCTAATAAGCAAAAGCACTAATACAAGAATCAGAACTAATAAAATATCAATGAGGGATTCAGAGGTAATCCATTTATATTCATGGAGTTTCAAATTCTTATAAACACTAAACTTGTAAATAAGCGAAGTTTTATTTAAAAATGAGAAGGGAATTAGCCATGAGTTCTGTGAGGCTGGAAATTTTCTTACTAACAAAATCCATAGATCATCTGTGAAACATAAATAATTGTATTATCTATCTCTTCTGGCAATAGTAAGGATTAAATGAATTAGTGTTTGTAACACATTATTTGGCATATAGAAAGATCTCAACAAATGTTGGCTATCGTCCCAATGTACCACACTAAGCAGATTACTTAAGCACCTCAAATACCAAATGAAAATAATTTATATTAAAAAGTAAGGCTATCTCAGAAGAACACATAGGATCGTAGGACCAATAATTTAAAAACAAACACATTCCAATTTAATGAGGGAGTATTGTATTAAAATATAATCAGTATCCTTCAAAAAAAACCTTGGATAGGTTTCACTTATCAAAGCCCTACTCCACTTTCCTCTCCAGTAACTCATGAATTACTACAGACATACTTACTAGATGATGCTTTAGTCTAGAATTCCATAATTAAAAAGACCTACATCTTTTCTGTGCTTCACACATAAGGCTCAAGCTCATAATGTGAATAGTTAGAATTTTCCCACTTCAGTGTTCACTAGGTTTATATTTCAAGGAATATATTCTTGTTCCGAGAACAAGTCCCACAGCAAAGGCAAAAGTTTCAATGGCAACAGGATAATGATTAACTACTAGCCCTTCAAATCCTCCACTTAGGGAAAATGAGAACATGAAATGAGCATATAAGTCTTTTCTTGCATTTGTACTTCAGTAAATTTCTTGCAAAAACACTGGGCCAGTAGAAACTACACTGTAAACTGAGATGCAAGAAATGGCTTTATCTGGTTTGGGTTTAAGGAGGACTCCATAAACAGTCTACCACTACTTCTCAGCAAACTATGCCATTTTTAATAGCAAATAAAAATATGGGGGAAAGAAAGGAGTACATGAAAATGATTGATGATTCTTAATTTTTTAAAAAAGGTGGCTCTGCTGGGAATGGTGATGCACATCTGTTAATTCCAGCAGCTTAGGAGGCTGAGGTAGGAGGATTGAAACTTCAAAGCCAGCCTTAGCAATTTAGCAAGGTCCTAACCAACTTAGTGAGACCCCCATCTCAAAATAAAAAGGACTAGGGATGTAGCTCAGTGGTTGTGCACCTCTGGGTTCAATCCCTATACCAAAAAATAAAATAGGTGGCTCTAATAAAACTGTCATTAAATTAATGTAATTTATATATATTATTTTAAAATTTAAACACATTTCAAAATCAAAGAATCAAACAGATGCAAAATTACAAATCAGAGCAAAAATTCATCCATCCCCACCATGTAACTGAGAATCTTGGTGCTTACAATATGATTTCAATCTCATCTGTACTTGGTCTTTAAATACAATAAAAATTTATGTAAGAAAACCCTAAAAGATGAACTCATATTATACTGCACTATTTTAAAAAATTGCTTAAATCCTCAATAGAATATATAAACAATTCTGGGTCTTATAAAAGATAGGCATAAAAACTAATTACAAAAAAGATCAGCTTACTAGAAGAAAAGGGTCACTTATAATAACCAAGAAAAGGAACCCAGAAAGTTTTACAACTCAATCAAATCGTATTAACCAAGTTAAGAATTAGGGGAGGTGGGGGAATATGAAGATAATCAGTTTTAATTTTAACTGAGTCAAAATTTTGGTTTTCTAAAAATTAATATTTAACATTTGCTTTAATAATGAATTTCATTTTCATTTTTTTAAATTCTAAATACAAGTTGATGTTTAACGAAAACTATATAATAAATCAACAAGTATATATTGAGCATCTACTATGTACAATGCAACTAACTTCTTTAAAGCATGATCAGAAATGAGCCTAGTAACTGTACATTAAGAAACTTTCCAGCTTTGTGCTTCCTCTCCCTCATCAAAATACAAAAAAACAAAGGAACAAACATTTTGCAGGCCTTGGTAGCCATTTATACAATGGGAAGCCATGGTAGAAATTAACAGAAAAATTTCTAGAACTAGACTCCCAAATATTTCAAAAGAATTACTCTTATGAAGTAGCTAGTATACAATTACCTAAAAAGCCCTATTGATGACAAATAAATCCATTTGAGGATTCATCCAAATCCATTTAAACAAAACCACCCACCATACTCTTTCTCACTACTTCTCAGTATTGGGCTTTCAAATTTAAGGAACTTCAGAATTCCCTAATTTATTCAAAACAATTACAATACTGAAAATCATTTAAAAAGTATGTTGTATTACCCAAAGAGAACCCAAGAACTCCTGAATTATACATAGGCAAGATTAAGTTAACAAGTAAAGACAGATCTAGAACAAATGTCAGCAAGCTTTCCTTAGAGGACCAGGTAGTAAATTATTTTAGGTTATGTGGCTATTTGGTACAACTGCTCAACTCTTAATACTATAGCGTGAAAGCAACCACAAAGCATATCAATGAAAAAGTACAGGTATACTGCAAAGAAAAACTTTATTTACAAAAACAAGGGTAAGTTTCCAACATCCAGATCTAAGACAGAATGTCAAAAACAGGTTCAACTGTGAGTTTGTTCACATCTTAATTTTATCTAAGTTTAAGTAATGAAACAGAAAATAGGTAAAATTAGTAAGTAAAAATGTGATTATCAAACTTTACACACATTACCATACTGGTATTCTTGTACTATTTTTTAGCTTTGCTAAATTCTGCTATATTTTTATAATTCCGACTCAAAAAAAGGTTCATTCACAATTTAAAACTACAAGCAGATTAAACATGTAAATTAAATAATACTTACTAAATGTTTCCACCAATGATTACTATGTTGTATGGGCCCTTTAGATTGTTCTATCTGGGGAGTCATACTTCTGTAGAAGACACAAAGTATATAATTTTATACATAGTAAACTACAAAATGAATTTGGGGGGTAGGGGCCTTACTGGTGACTGAAACCAAGGAACACTCCACCACTGAGCTACATCCCAGGTTTTTTTTTGAAACAGGGTCTCACTAAATTGCCCAGGCTGGCCTGAACTTGTAATCCTCCTGCCTCAGCTCCCTGAATCACTGGAATTACAGGCATGCACCACCACACTCAGCAAAAATAAGATTGTTTATACCAAAATGTATACCATAATTCATACAGAAATTTTAACATCTTATAAGGATCACTCACCAACAAACCAAGGTAAACATGTATTTGTGAACAATATGGTCATGCACAAGACAGAAAAGCTCTGAAGAATCTTAAATTTGGTTCACTTTTAGAATAAATCACTCTAAAATTATAAGCCTAAATCTCATCCCCCATGAACTCTAACAGATTAAGAAAATATTTGAGTTTTCTAGGTAGATCTGATGGGCAGCCAGAATTGAAAATAAAGCCAACATCACTCCCAAAGATGCACAATTATTTCATCTTCTGGTCTTTCATCTAATTTACTTTCAAGCCTTCTCAAAAATGATCCACTGATATTGCCACATTATTTCATATTATCATGTATTATATTCAACATAATGTACATAAGCATGTACATAATCAACACTAACATAAAGTGTCAGAAAACTGAAAGCATGGTTTCAAACTACTAATTGACTGATCTACTGGAACTAAACAACACTAACCCTCTATAAAATATGTACTTGGTAATAAACTACTATGCTTTTCACTAGTTAGACTTAAATGTCTGATAAGTTAACATGAAAAACAGTGTTTCCCATATCTCAAATGCCTTTGGGGCGGAGGACATTGCTTTTCTGAGGCTGGCTTTGAACTCACAATCCTCCTATTCTCAGCCTCCACTGGAATTACAGGTGTGTGCCACCTCGCGTAGCCCATATCTCAAATACCTTCTGAATCCAGGTATATACTTTTGTAGTTAGTCCTGTTTCTAAATGATTATATAATCACAGTAATATGTAGAGATAGTAATATGTAAGACAGAATTTAGTTCTGTCTTACATCACTTGCCTGATATGCACAAGGCCCTAGGTTTACAGCGAAATAAAACTGGGTTTGGTGGGACACACCTGAAATCCCACTAAAGAAGCAGAAGCAGGAAGTTCCACATTTGAGACCAGCCTCAGCAACTTATCGAGACCCTATCTCAAAATAGAAAAAAAGGCTGGGGATGTAGCTCAGGGATACAGCACCCCTGGGTCCTATCTCCAGTTCCACATTTAAAAAAAAGAGGTAGAGATACAATAATACTCTTTCAAAGTTCAATAAAAATATGTAACAATTTAAAGTTTTTAGACAGCAAAAGGCAGAGCTTACCTTTAAGATTTAAGTTAAAACTAAGGTACCAAAATGCTGTTGAAGGACTAGCTTTCAAGTTAAAGGGTATATATCCTGGTTTATCTTACCAAATCTAAATTTCATTTTGACAAATCATTATCAAGGAATATAACAAAGAGCTGACTTTAAATTACTTTTAAGAATAGACACTAGCCAGGAATGGTGGCACATGTCTGTAATTCCAGCAACTCAGAAGGCTGAGGCAGGAGGATCCCAAATTCAAGGCCATCTTTAGCAACTTGGCAAGTCCCTAGGTAACTTAGTGAGACCTTGTCTCAAAATTTAAAAAATTTAAAAAGAACTGGTGCTTTACTAGCTCAATAGTAAAGCACTCCTGGGCTTAATTCCCAGTACAAAAATTTTTTTTTAAAAATATGTATACTAAAACATGACTTCCCAAAATGTTGAAGCAATTCAAAAGAAATACGCTTTAAAGCTTCTAAATTTAATCTGACCCTATAAGGAAAAGAAGATTTTATGAAGACGAACCTTAAATCAACCATCTAAAATAACTGATTTAATCCTTTAGAGAAAGGAAGAGCTGACTTAGTCTTGTCTTTTCTTGTACAGGGGACTGAACCCAGGGGCACTTAACCATCCAGGGAGCCACTATGTTGCTGAGGCTGACTTTGAACTCAGGATCCTCCTGCCTCAGCTTCCCAAGCTGCTGGGATGACAGGTGTGCGCCACTGTACCAGGCTTGACTTAAAAAAGAATTTCAGTGAAAGAAATTTCTAAGGGAAATCCCTAATACTGATCAGATAATCTACTTAACAAATAGGTTAGCTAGTAGTACCACAAATATGTGCTTTTGGGTTCTCCCACAGCAAAACGAAAAAAAGAACTTGTATCTTTACTTTGTACCCTCAGGAAAAACGACTGATATCAGTGTCTCCTTTCTCAAAATTGATAAAGTCTGTACTATGCCATCCTTTGAAACTGGGAATGGAAGAGTCACGTTCATCTTAAACAGACTATTAAAGTTGATGTTTTGCTTGTATTTCTGTCCTACATATTTCCCAACATTATAATTTATGATTTAATAACAAATTATATGAATTACCATTTGTTACTGGATCTTTTTTTTTTTTTTTTTTTTTTTTTTTTAATCTTTTTAGATGCTGATGGACCTTTATTTTATTCATTTATTTATTTGTGGTGCTGAGAATCGAACCCATGGCCTCACACATACTAGGCAAGTGCTCTACTACCGAGCCACAACTCCAGCCCCTTTACTGGATCTTTTAGAATAAAAGGTTTTAGTTACTTAAAATTCCTTTAAAAACTTTGAAAATTTAAATTAAGTCTAAAATCTAGAGCCATGTGAAACATAGGAATCTTAAAAATAGGGTAATGATAGTTATAAACTATCATTACAACTATAATGATAGTTATATTATAAAGTCATTAGGAATCCTAAGAAAACTTAATTCTTTAAGACAAGTCAAAAACCATTACAGTTAAAAAAAAATAGCTTGATAACCTAAATTAAAATTATTATGATCATCACATAGTACACTTTAAAGACTTAATTGCTTGCTTAGGAAATACTCAATTTCAAACAAATGACTTAGTTTCAAATATAAAAGGATTGTTTTCTGAAACATGGACCTATCAAGTATTGCATAATACACAAATCAAATTTTTTGCCAGATTGTTATACAGAATATAACACATAATTGGTACATAAATGTCAAGTAACATATTACTTATGACATTTCGCTTCAATTTAAATTATAAGGACCTTTTTGAATATAATTATATTTAATAGCCAATTTGAAAAGTTTGCATCCATCTGAAAGGGGAAGGTAGCAGGTAAAAATGAGAACATTTATCTTTGAAATGCATAAAATTCTTAAAGGAAGTTAAACAGATTATACCAGGCATGCAAACTACAAGCATCTTGTTTATAATGTTGTACACTACAAAGATTTTATGAAAATATATTCAACAGATTAAATGTCTTTATTAAAGTAATAAATAGAAAAAACAAAAAATAGGGGCTAAGGTTGTGGCTCAGTGGCAGAGCACTTGCCTCACAAATGTGAGGCACTGGATTCAATCCTCAGCACCACATAAAAATAAATAAACAAAATAAAGATATCGTGCCCATGTATAACTAAAAAATTTAAAAAAAAAGAAAAACCAAAAAATAATTTTATTGCAGCATTCTAAATCCTTATTGTTTAAAGACAATTTTGCACCTTAATTAGTTTTCCAGTGTATCTATTTCTACTACTAATATTTGGAAATGACCAAAAATCAATGAGAAAGTCAAGTATACTATCACCCCAGGTATTACGTTATTCCAACAGCTTCAACACAAAAAAACACATCTTGTAATGCAAAAATGAGTCTGCATGAGAATTAAATATTCCTTACCATTATTTTTATCACAATTTAAGACCTAAGAGTGATCTTAAGAGATTATAAACTCTAAAGCCTTCATATAAATTAAGAGGATGAAGGTCTATAAAATAAATGTCAAGACTGCAGAGCTTGCTACATTAGAAGCTGATCTCCTAATTTAGCTGAATTTTTATTATATTTTTCACCTTTGATTAAAGCAGAATATAGAAATGCCCTCAAATTATCTTTCTTTTTCAATTATGCCTTTCCACAAACAATAAAATCTCCGAGAAAAAAAATTAACTAGTTGTTCATAGCCCAAATTTTTTAATAGTTAAGAAACTATAAATAGAAAACTAAACTTCAAGAAAATTACCTATTTCATATAGTCTAGACTCTAAATGTCAGGTCATTGTTTATAATACCTGTGATCTAGCTACAGCACAGCTTCTTTCATTCCTATGGAATGTCAAGAATTTTTTTAAACAGAAAATCAAATGCAATCCAACCTAATCACATAATCACCAGATTTTTATAATACAAGCATTATTCCAAAATGCTAAAATGTTATCACTTGGTATGAGTGATACAAATATGTCACTTTGGTTCTTAAGCAGGAAACTTTAGTATATAACTTACCTTTCTTATTAAACAATTTCAAGCAATATAATACTATATACACCATCTACTATGCATCTTATAGATAATATAATTTTACCAATGTAGAATAATATCTACATTCACATTTGCCCTTGTATGCCGATCAAATATGTCCCCTATATAAGATTGGCTCAAGCAATAAATATTCAAACACAGAATATAAGCATTATTATTAAGGATCCAAGCACATGTAGATCTTTATAAAATGTGATTTATTCTAATCCTTTATACCTCGTGTGTTATAACAAAGCTATATCCCATTAGACTGGGGATTAATTTAGTTACTATATCACTTGGAAGTCTTGTTAAAAAATTACTAATACAAAGTGAAAGATAAAAAAGCCTCATTTAAAATTTATCACCTTAAACTCATTTTTTCCTCCAACAGATCAAATTACACCTTTGATAGGCCATTATAAATATCTCACCTATTTGTACTTAGAACTTACACTTTATAGAAAATACCTAATTCTCAATTTTTCTAACAATGCCCAATTCATGAATGCCAATTTGATATTTTATCAAATTGCACAGAGTGAATCTAATCTTGGCATTTGTATTAAAGAACCCTGGAATGAAGAAAGTCAACTTTTTCAGTAGGTTCTACCTGTAAGACACTATATAGTTAAGTTATACATTTCTTTCTGCACAAAATAATAAACAAAAATTTAATCAAACTGTTGAAAGGCTTGAAAAGGAAAAGTTAAGCAAAAACAAAAACAATAAAAATTCCCCTTATCGCCTATTCGGATCAATGGAATAAGCCAACACCAACAAATAAAAAGATTGTACTTTATTTTTCACGTAAATTCCAAAAACAAAGATAAACTTGCCCTTATTTTAATTATTTGTCTATTCTTAAAAGTTCCCAAACTATTTCTCATTTTATGTCATATTTCCTCTGGCCAATCACTTACTAATAACAACTTGACATTAACTTCTAAATTCAATGTTCTCTTTATATGAACGAAAACATTTCCTTAAAAGTACTAGTGGGCATATTTTCTTCATTCACTTATCCAGTTTTAAGATGTTAATGTATTGGTTCCATGGTTTATGATTGAATACTATTTCTACCTATTATGGTTTAAAAACAATTACTAAGCTATAAATCAAAGGTTTCTTTATGTGCAATACCTCTAGTTTCCTGGAAAATAGCTAATTTTTATATCTGTTTAAAAATAAACTAATGAAGAAGGGAAATGATTATTTTAAATACATTTAATAAAAACCAGGATATGATAGTGCATATTTGGATTTTGAAATTGTAGCTGTTTAAAGAATCTTTCAATCAGCAAATGCAAAAATCTAGGTCATCCCTAAAATTCGGCTGTAGCATTAAAAAAAAAAAATAGGTAAGGAATGTACCTCTACATTATAATGATATATACTAATGACTCTACTACAAATTTAACCGTAATCCTAAAGAACCATTTTATAGGGAGGTATTAAATGTCATAATGTACCATATAATTACATTCATCAATGTAAATCATATGCATTTTACCATGCATCACCTATTTTAATAGTAATACAAAAGTGTTCTGATGTAATTTAATGGATCTTTTTACATTCCCCCCCCCCTTTTTTTTTTTTAACAGATAAGAATTCTAGTTCGGTTTATGTCTCATTAACAAACTTTAGTGATATTTTCCTACCGAAATTTCAGTAAACTACTCAAATACAGATGTTGGATAAAACATTTACTTACTTACTAGATAAAATACAGACTTTCCCAAAGATCTCCTTAATCCTCAAGGATAAAAGTACAATGTCAGTCTTCAAAATGACATACCTTTTAGGGGGGGGGAAAAAAAACATAGCATTCTAAGTAACTTACTAAAGAAGCAATCAACAATAAGTAAAAATTAAAAAACAACTAATTATATAAAAAAAACAAAAACTGAAATCTATGCTCAAAACTGATTTTTAAAATGTTCTTCCCTGAAGTTGATAAGTATAAACAGCAAACCAATTCAAATTTTCCAACGTATTTACTTTTTTCAAATATTTAGAAAATTAAAACCATTTGCATGGTATATTAGAGATGAAAAGAAAAGAATATCTCTTTGGTACATAGATTTCCCCCAAAATAAATCAGTCTTTCTTGTTTCCAAAATTAAACAAAGGCATAACAGATTTTCAGCATTTTAAACTATTCATGGCAACATTACATTACAATGGCCATGCTCAGATTCTTTTAATTTTTCATTCACTGAAAAGGTTTAAAGGCTTTTTTAATGATTTCAGATACCTACTCAATTCATAATCACTATTTTAAAAAGTCATACGTTAACATTCACTGCTTATTTGAAATATAATCAATAAAAAACAAAAACAAATCATAAGAAGTTAATTTTATGTCAAAGCAATAAAAATTTACCAGATCTTACCTGGGATAAAAGATGTATTTGTTCAAACCATAAGCAAATTAATTTTAAACTCTGTAAGTAACCTTAAAAAAAAGAAAAAGATTGATATCAATGTTTTGATTTTTAAACATTTCTTGGCCAAAAATTAAATGTGATGAAACAATAAGAGAGTATTTCAAATGTAAGATCTATGGACAAATTAAAGAGATGATTCATAGACACACAACCTGTACATTTATGATTGCAGATATTTCTTATTTTTACTATGTATCAGTCTTTGTTTCCCACGTTTTGGTGGTATTGACAAATACTAAGGATTAAGGCACTGAAATTATTAAAAAGATATAGAGAAAATTAGACTCCTTAAACAGATTTGAGATTATGACCTTGTTTTTATTTTTCCTCTTTTGATGCCTGGCAATAAACAAAACAAAGGAAAAGTTTACCATTTTTAAATAATGTAATCACCTCAAAATTTCCTTTACCATCTAGAAATACCTTTTACAGTTATGACTAATTAAAAATTGCTTCTGGAGAAATTAATGAAGTTTAAAATGGCCACTGGTTACTTTAAATTTTAAACAACAAGTTATTTGATCTCATCAAGTGGGATATTAGCTTTGTCTTTTAAACAAGTCTAAAACTTGAAGTATGTTTACCATTACTTAATTTCAAACCAGGGTCTTGGATATTTTCAGTCTTTCTCCTCCTCCATTTACATGTAAAAAGATCTTATGATGTTAAAACTGCTAGCAGTTTTTTTGCATTTCACTCTTCAAAAAGGTTTCTTTCTAAAGAACTAGATTCTAAAAGACTAGATTAAAACCACAGTCAATGTTCAAAAACCTCAAATATGTTGATTTAAAGGACCAAACTCAGCTCTTAAAATTAGAATCTGAAACAACATTCTGTAAAATGAAGATATACGCAACTGATGTAACATGTACCACTATGCCAAAGCTATTCAAAAGCAATTTTACTGGTAAAAATACCTTTAAAAATGTGGTCAAATAAACCAGAATCTTGGGTTTCAGATGTACTACGTAAGACTTCCTAACACTATTTTTCAACACAAGAGCTCCGCAGAATGAAGACAAATATATTCTAAAATACACAAAGGTTTGTGCATTCCTGGTTTGTTCTTCAAACCATTAAACTTAAATTCCCCTTCAAAGATTTTCACAATTAGAGACTATAGAGAACGTTACAATTTTTTGAAACCTGTATTTTCAAAATACTATGCCGTTTTTAAGCCATCTAGATTTTTATACATGCAACAAATGCAACAAATATGGCTCCTCTTCATCGCCCATTACCGACAGCAGTCCTACTTTAATATTTACACTACGAGAAAGTAACTTCACGAAGAGATTTTGTGTCAGAATACTCCTTTGTAAAAGTTTTTCGATCATGGTTTATAACAACATACAATTAAAAAAAAAAAAAAAAACGAAAAGATGATGAACTTCAACTTTTAAAGACTAGGAACTGACCCAACTACGTTTTAACATTCAGGTGTGATAAGTTACAGATAAGGGCTCCTTACGACCTTTTTTAAAAGTACCAAACAGTATATTTAACCATATTCAGGTACCAGGATGTCAAATGAACTTGAATAATTACTCCGTAAAATAAACTGTATTAATCAAACGTCATCATCTAGCACCGTAATTATCAAATCTATACCCATTAAACTGCCTAGACGATACACTAAACTTGTCTTCGTAATTTTTGAAACACTAGATGCACTCTTCCAACTTGCATTTTTAAAAGATAACCTTAACGTTATAAAAGATTTAATAAACAGCAACACTGTTCACATCTATAACACTGCAGCCGTTTTCAAAATCAGCTTTGAAAGAGTTAAAAGCCAACACCCAATGGGGGGAAAAAAAAAGACAAGTTTTATTTTTGTTTTAAATGTAGTCAGGGTTCCATTGTTCTTTTAAATTCGACCTCTAAGATGAGTTCCCACCTTACCACCGGAAAGAGATTAAAAAGCTCCACGGTGGAGAACCTGAAAAGGATTTTTTTACCCTAAATAACAAAATAACTCACCGGGACATGCAGGGGCTCTCCTGGTGCGGTCCCCTTTGGGCTCCCGCCTGCGGTCTCCCGCCGCCGCCCCTCGGCCGCCAGGTCCGGGTCCCGGCAGCAAAGCCGCCCCCCGCCCACCCGCGGGTCTGCGGCAGGGCCCCGCGTGCCCCCACCCCCGCCCGCGACCCCGGCCCGCGGCAGAGACGCATCCCGCCGGAGAGAGGCAGCCGCGACCTTACAGGGGTTTTGTGGGGAAAGCCGGCCGGCGAGGCCCGCCGCCCCCTCCCGCTGGCGCGCTCAAGGACATTTTGCTTTTCCTCCCAAGGACAAAGGACAATAAAAGGAGCCGGGGAGCCACTTACCGGGTATAACTCGGCCACTGGCACCTTCTGGTCTCCATCTTCGATACCGGGACTGACCTCCCGCCCGAGCCTCCCGCCCACGCTCGGTCTAGGCGGCCGGGACCCGGCGCACCTCCGTGGCCGCTGCCGTAGCCCAGCTTTCGGCGTCGTGGGCCGGGCAGCCCTGGACTTCTCGGCCACGAGCTCCGGCACCCGTGCGAGGCCCGCCTCGCCTCAGCCACGGCCACCCAGTTCCTGCGGGCTTCCGGGCCGCCCGAATACAGCTCCCTGCCAGCCAGCGGGCACCTTGGCCGCGGCAAAACGTCTGACAGCTCTGGGTGCTGCTGCCTCTCCGGCCATCTTGTGCCGTGTGTGTGGTGTCTCTCCCGTCTCCTCTCTCGGCTTTACTCCCTCCTCCTCCTCCCCCCGCCCCACACACCACACAACATGGCCTCTTCGCTGCGGCGGCGACGGCGGCGGCTGCCGCGGCTGCAGGAGCTCCACGGAGCTCCAGCACGCTCCCCTCCCCCACTTTGCCCGCCTCCCGCCTGCAGCCCCGGGCCCCAGAGCGCAAGCGCACCGCTGCCCGCTCGCCGCGGCCATTGGCCCTAAGAGCTTCCTGCCATTGCTTCCCGGGAGAGGCCTCACGCACGCTCGCTGGGTCTTCCTCCCGCCCAACAGCAATTACTTTCATCCTATTGGCTAGTTATGACACCACCCCTTCCGCCACCTCCACGCAGATAGGCTTTCCTCAGTGCTATTCACCGCCGGTAGGAGTTTCTGGTTGTCCCGAGAAGTCCCGGACCGCGATTGGCTGATATTGAAACCTTTGGGTTTGGAGCTGAGGTGTTGCTTTTCGCCCCGCAGTGCGGACCCCTCCGGTCTAGGCAGAGGTTTCCTGGTTTCCGCAAGGCTAGGCAAGAATCATTAGCACGGAACTCTATAATGTGACGATTTCATCTCTGAAAAGAAGCTCACGTCTCGATGTTTCTGAATTCAGATTTTTGTATTCTTTAGAGAAATAAGAGAGGAAAGAAAATGACTGACAGGATGATGAGCAAACAAGATGCAGGTCCATAGCCCGTTGGCAGGCAGCCATGTCCTCAAGATTGTTCTTCTAAGCAAGGAGATTTTTCTTCAGGGTCACAGTCAGGAGCAGTGGTTTTATATGGCCAGCACATCCCCTAGCCTACTGTCCCAATTAAGATACCATTTTTTTGAGGGTTTATAAGCTTCCTGTGGCTCATTTGTGTGACACGACCTATTTGTATGTCCAGTGTCCTGAGACCTTAACGAATCAGTCTCTCATATTTCTAGTTAGCTGGATTCCACACTCTAGTGCAGCGTTTGTTAAAATGGTTAATTTGAACCCCAACAATCCCAATCTATCTTTTCAACCTCCCAAAAAAATTAGGCAAAAAAGCTTCATTTCCTTTCAGTGAATCTCACTTTTTAAAATTACTTCTTCCCATTTCAATCTGGAAAAAACTAGGCAGATCACGGGAGAAAAATGAAAACATAAATTTTCCTGAAATAGGAAAAGTAAAAGATGCCTCCCCCCCGCCCCCTCTCTCTCACACACACACACATAATGCCAGTATTTGGAAATCTTTTCCCTATGGCAGGGTATCTAAGGGAAGAGAAATGAATGCCAGATAGATGCTTTGATTTTTAATAGTTTTTTGTTTGGTTTCCAACCAACCCCTCCCCAGGAGAGGAGACTTAGGAGAGAGAAGAACAATTCAATTCTCTTGAGACCCTGCCCCTGATTAAGACCAAAGAAGTTACATAAACATGGAGCCTAGAAACTATTCTAGCCCCTTTTAAAAGTGACACAGTCATTGTGACAAATATGGTGGTACACTCTGTAGTCTCAGCTACTCTGCAGGCTGAGACGGGGGAATCACATGAACCTAGGAGCTTAAGACCAATCCAGCCACCAAGTAAGGTCCCATCTCAAAAACAAAAACAAATAAACAAAAAAAAAAAGTCATTAGTTGACTTGACTCAACATCAGTCACTTGTGACAGAACTAAGACTAGATTACCACTTCTTTTTGTTTTGTTTTTTGTTTTAATTAGTTACACATGACAGTACAATGATCTTGATAGATTACCACTTCATAAGGATCTTGGGTTCCATCTACAACTCGGTCATCCGTGGCAACATACTTTGAGCTCTAAGTGGGTACACACACACACAAATTCTTCTTCAATAGAAATTTAAGTTTTCCATTTAATTTTCATTTATACTATCTAGCTTTCAAAACAATGAACATGCAACAAGTTTTGTTTTGTTTTCGTTTTTTTTTTTCTCTGAATAGCCCAACAGAGAACCCTTTATCCTCCTAATTCTTGGTGTGTCCTTGCCGTGTTTTTGTTTACTCTTTTTCTTTCCATTCTCCCCTTCTGTCATTACCTGAAATCCGTCTATGATTCTGCCTTTCCAGATCCATCACCAAGTATTTCTATGACAGTAAAAACAGGTCTGCCCAATCTTTTATTCAAAATAATAATGGCTGAAAAGCATTGAGTTAGCTAACTAGGTGCCAGGCATTGTTCTAAACTCTCATTGTGGATTAACTCAGTTGATCACACAACACTCCACTGAGAGATGACTATTGCCCTTATGTACTATCCCTATTAGAGAACTAAGGAAAAAGGAGTTTAAGTAACTCACCCAGATTCACACTGCTGAGAAGTACTAGAGCCAGGATTGATGCTGGGGATTGAACCCAGACCCTTGTGCATGATAGGTAAATGCTCTACCACTGAGATGCAGCTATAGCCCACCCCAGTTTTCTTTCAAAAGCTATCCCTTTGCTTAAAAGGTTCACTGGAATCTTCAGTATTATGAATCTTCCAATTTTGATTGTTCCTCCCTCCTCTGCCTCATAGAGGTGTTCCACCTTCAGAATCAGGCATACCTCCAGTTAGGAGATGTCAGATCCAGTCTAACTTAATTCCCAGAACTGTACCCCCCACCCCTACCCCATTGCTGTCAATCTGTTGGCATACTTCCTACAAACAATCTGACTCTTATTTTTGCTCCCTCTTCCATTGAAGAACCCTATAGCTCAGCAGGAGAATGACTTCCTTTTATAAAGATATAATTTGGTGGCTTATTAAAACAACTTTCTTGGGCTGGGGATGTGGCTCAAGCGGTAGCACGCTCGCCTGGCGTGCGTGCGCCCCGGGTTCGATCCTCAGCACCACATACCAACAAAGATGTGTCCGCTGAAAACTGAAAAATAAATATTAAAAAAAAAACTTTCTTTCCCCGAGTTTGTATCCCACACAACATCCTCTTTGAAATAGACCCTTATCTACCATATTGAAACTGTGCTTCTTATCAAAAATGACAGCCGTGGTTTCTTTTGCCATATCTATACCATGTGTTTAGCCATCCCTACTTACAGTGAGAAGAGTGCACCTGACACCTGGCAGACCAAGTCCAAAACCCCCTGCACAGTTCCTTTTCACCTGTGACATCTGCCAAAGAACCCAGAGGAACCCCTCCTTCCCCAAATTACACTGGCTTCTGTTACTGGAGCTTCTTTACAGGTAAAATTGAGGAGCCAACACTTTACCCTCAGCTCACCTAGAGGAAAGGTTCTGTGTATGCATGTGCCCTGAGTAGTCCTGTTCCTATTTAACAGTGTCCAAAAGAAATACTGGAATGGCAGGGAAATTTTCTAGAAGGACATAAGGACCTGTTTATACTGATGTTCTTAGAGACAAAGACCTCAAAGTTACCTGAAAAAGGCACTTTTCACTCTATACCCTTTTATGATTTTTGAATTTTGAACCATGTGAATATATTACCAATTTTAACTTTTTTTAAAGAAAAGAAAATAAAACTAACTGCAAATAATCTGTTGAGCTAAAAGTCAATAGTATTGGAAAGGAAGTTAACTATTCTTTAAAAAGGTCTAAATTTGTTATAGTAACACCTACAATTGTTTTTGTGTTGGTGATGGTGGTGAAGTTTTTGGTTTTAATGAAATAAAGGTCACAAAAAACTCAGAACCTGCAGAGATGTGAAAGTCCATCTCCTCAAATGTCCTTGTGATAACTATAAGAATTCCTGGTACAACAGCTTCCGTCCTAAATGCAACATGGCTGCACACAACTCTGTTACAGAACAGGGCTTGCCACCCACCATCCTCCCAGCTTCTCTGACCCTTCCCAGGTTTATTTCCCCCTTCTGCCCTTCTCTCCTCCACTAGCAAATAAAGAAGAGGTGAAGGCACCAGCAGACACTGCTTTTCTCCCTGCTTCTAGTCTTTTATGTCCCCCTTTGCTCCAGAAGAAGGGGTGGATCCCTTCTAGATTGTCAGACCATCCATGGAAGCGGTTGAGTGGAAATCCAGGATGACCTTGACTCAAATCAAGAACACAGTTTTCAATGTCAGACCCTTCCAGATTCTCATTCTGTTCCTCCTCTGCAGTTTTTCTTACTCTTCATATTCTGTGGGACTTGCAAGCATCTATCACATCATCTGCTCCTTTAAACATAGCAATCTATTGCTTTGTTCAAGATAGATTGCACACAAGGTTGAAGCTCATTTGATATTCAAAATGTTATTTCCAAACAAAACTATTGCTCTTTGTCCATGTGCTAGGTACCTTCCCCCACTTCCAACCCCCACCAGTTCTGCCCAGGGACACTTAATCACCGAGCTACATCCTCGGCCTTTTTTTTCTCCCTTTGAGACAGGGTTTCACTAAATTGTTTAGAGCTTTGCTAAATTGCTGAGGCTGTCCCTGAATCTGCAATCCTCCTGCCTCAGCCTCCTGAGTTGCTGGGATTACAGACATGCACCCCTGTACCCAGCTCTAAAACTTATTTTTATTTACTTATTCATTCATTCATCCATTCATTTATTTGGAGCTTATATTCTAAAGGAGAAGGCCATAAATAAATAATAAACTACCAAGTTGTGAGAGTGCTATGTTGATAGGGGCCTAATTCTAGTTGAGTGGTCAGGGAAGGCTAGTCTAAGGAGGCAGCATTTAAGTTGAAACAGGAAGGACACAAAGGAGGCAGCTATGAGTATACCTATGGGTGGGGTTCAGACTAAGGCAGCAGATATATGCACGGAGCTAATTTTGCTCCATCCCAAAACTGCACTGAACAGATTTTCTTTTCTATTTCTATTTTTCTTCCTCCCTCCATTCCATCCTTTCTTTGTTTCTTTCTTTCTCTTTCTTTCTTGTGTCATAAAAATTATAAGAAAAGGAGAATAGGGGAGAAGAAAAGAGCAACACAGTTTTTTGAAGCTGGAAAACAGACAGATGAGTGGTGAATGATTTAACAGACCTGAGAAAGATGAGATCCAACCTGACTTACACTGGAAAGACCTCAAAAGCCTCGGAAACTGCCAGAATGAGGGGCCATTCAGACTGAAGATAAAGAAGAAGGCTAAAATAAGGAGAATGAGTGGAAGCAATTAGAAGCAAGTGAAGGAAATAAGAAGTTAGAT